TTTCAGCTGACAAATGTAGCATCTTTAAGCCAGCTTTTTAAAAAATTTTCTGAATGACTTTCAGGTACTTCTTTTATATTTGCAACTCATTTATAGGGATGTATTAGTATGGTAGCCTGTCTGCCAACACCTTGTAGATGAGATTCTAGCACATATTGTGTGAAATGGTTCTCTTAATTGACATGAGAAGGTCACTATTTTTTATCAAGATAAAAATTACTTGTATGTCTTGTAATAACATTATTTAATATATCCCTTTCATAGCACACGTGTTCGTTTCAAAGAGAAGAAAACATTTATAATTTTTCAAGGTCAATAATCTCATGGATGAAATGCAAACTGTACTATTTGAAATAGGTGGTGTAGGTATTTCAGAGTCTGTATTACAGCTTGCCAGTTTATTGTTGGAGGAATATTCTCATCAAATAAACTATGTAAAGATTTGCTTTTTAATGCAAAGTATTTTTATAAGTAATAACTTCATTTCAACTTACAATGAACAGTTAATCAGTGCATCTCACTTTGTATCTAATGCATTTTTAGAACACAAATTTGTGGTTTAAAACATGTTGTAATAGTTTAATAAATAAATGCTATTCATTTTTTTTAATTGACAAGAAATGAAAATGTAATGATTATTTCAAAATAGTGTTTTATTCCTCTTGTGTATATTTATAGATATGTAAAAGATTGTTATTTTTATTGATGTTATTTTTGTGTACAAAATACTAGTTATTTATTACTTTATACAAAACTAATGTTGTGAAGATTGATAATAATAGAAGTCCTTATGCATGTATTGAACAGTATACAAATGTCACCAATGTAATACACATTTACAAATAAAATGAAATTTTACATGACTTGCACATATTTGCATTATTTGTTACAGTTATAACAAATCTAATTCATTGTATTTATTGTTTCCAATTTTTATTGTCTATTCAAACATGGAAAAATTATATGTGTAATGATGTTAAAGACACAAGAATATGGAATATGAATTAAAATAAGACTGTATGAACTACCTTTAGATTTATGAATTCAGTAGACAGTGACTGTGACAAATGTGTATTTAGGATAGAGATCTTAGACATGAGAAGAAAAGGGGTTGTTTTACAAACTTTTTTTTGCATGGGGAAATATTGACATTTTTATACAACAAATGAAGTTACTGGAATTGTGAAGTCTACGTGTCTTCTGTGAGTAGACATCTTTTGAAACAAAGGTAGCTTGGGGCCAGAAATATTCTAGACCCAGTAGTAATGGTCTTTTGCACAAGGTCATAGTCACTGTATATCAAAGTATTAAATACTTACCAATAATTGTTTGTAACCTCAGAGTATGATCCTAACACAGGTTAATGCAGGTCAAGGCCATAGGGTTTAGAAATGTAATGAGTATTCAGATAAACACATAATTCTGTTTGTTTATTTGTTTGTTATACATCCTTTAAGAATTTTTCACTAGTATTGAGACACCACAACTTGCTGGTTGAGGGCTGCAAATATAGACCTGTACTTTTGAGCAGTGAGAGGTCTTTTCTTGTCCCAGCATATACTGCAACAAGGGAATTTGGTTTCATTGGAAGAACCGGTTTCCATGTCCTTCAGTGGGATTTGCACCTATGACTTAAGGAACAAGTCCCTACTCCATTACTCTAGAGCAAATGCTTTGACCACTGTGCCAAGCGGGCAATCACATTATTGTTATACTAGATGTAAATCAAGGCGAAGGGATAATTGTGACTTGGGGATGTATAACAACCCTGCATCAAGTTCAATTTTTGACCGCTATAAAATAACTTCCAAAGATTATATTATCCTAGGGTTCATTATGCTCAGAGTATATGACATAAATTGGATATATATAATTCTAAACTACAATTTTTTTTTTTTTTAGAAAAGTACAAGGTTATAGTTTCAAGAGGTCATATCTAGCATGTACAGGTGATTGTGGCTTAGATGATGATTCTATACCATAAGTCATCATGTGACTACGACGTTTTAAATCAATGTGTTTCTTTGGTGGTGGATGAAATATTTTCTTAACATAACAATTACTATCGGTCATTTACTATATTTCCATAAGATTCAGGACGTGAAAATTTGTCTACGAATAGACATCACCCTATTAGTTCCTTCTAGTTAAAATAAGGAATCACCATACTGGGTTTTAAAGTGCCTAATATTTTACTTAAGATAAATGCAAATTGACCAATAAATACTGGTATGAGAAGTACATTTATGCATGTGTAGTTTTTTTATTTAAATAATTAGAAAAAAGAAAATGGTCTACATAATCACGTATATATATATATTCTGGTCTCCTTTATGCATTATATATACTTGGTCTACTTTAACCCTTCGGGATCCTCAGAAAATATATACATGTCTACCTTAAACCTCCAATGTATTTACAAAATATTAAGGAGACCAGAAATGTCGTATATTTTTCAGGAAGCAACATTTAGGGCTGAGGGGGTAAAATTTTCATTATTGAAGCCTATTAGAATAAATTTGGGTGAAAGTGTGAATCAGAATGTCTCAAATAAAAGAAATGAAAAATGTCTACTTAATGCCTCAAAATAAGTGCGGTCTACTTTATGCCAAAGTCCACCTTATATATATATATATATATATATATATATATATATATATATATTTAAAAGAGTAAAGTTGTTTGAAGCATAAGTATTGTCAAACTAGAGTGTTCCAAGGAACGCTTGTGTCACCAGCTTTGTAGTATCATACCTAAAGATGTAAATAAATATGAGTGGTCAGCTATTTATTTACTACTAGCATGAAAAGAGATTTCATCTGTCTTTGTTGCAATTGTCAGTTTTCACGATCCTTTGTGGAATATCGATCCCGATGTATTTTCGTAGTATTTAAATATAAGTATAATATGACAAATATGAACCAGTTCATTATTGATTGATAAAATTTCGCTTAAATTTTCTTTTTGGTCAAATATTGTAAGAACTCTCATTTTTTTTGGCTCTGTTTGATTCTCAAAATAACAAAAAAAAAATGTAAAAAAAAAAAAAAAAAAAAAAAAAGACAATGAGATTTTCAGTTCTTGTGTTGCCTGGATATTGGTGATATAGGAATAATTATAAACAATGGAGCTACACTGTATCCTCTGTATTTCCCCGTTCATTGACAACTTTAAAGTAACGGCTGGTTTTCCAATATGGTGCTTGAAGATGACCATGGTTATAAAGAGCCTTTCAGGTTTACCACCATGTTGTTTCCTCGAGTGATATTGCTGAAAGTGGAAGTGTTATTTTGCTTGGAAAACCAAAAAGCCCTACAGGAACAGTGCATTTGGAAAAAAAGTTGGCAGCATGTTCACGATTGTATACATCATAGAAGTTATAGGAAGTCTTGTATCTGGCTTTTCTTTAAGTTTTTGAAATCTTTGAATGGTTCTCTCGCAAAATGTTTGGTCGACGTCATCGTAACCCTCCATTTTGTTGAAATGTGCAAGTTTCGACAAATAGCTTACGACTCTCTGTGGAGTCAATTGTTTTTAAAGCAATGGGATGATTGGTCTGAGGAGATTGGAAACACCGGGGAATTAGGCCTAGTATACTTTTGTTTGAAAACTGTGTAAACTGTTTTAGCTCTCTTGTAGGATTGTCTTGTCACTACTTCAATGTATTTCCAATCAATATGTTCAGTTGACAAAGTTCTTTAAAGTTTGCACATCTCCTCTGACACTACTTCTGGGCGCTGGTTCATTGGTGAAGCAAGTTTCCAAGACTCTTCTGCAAACGAGACATTTAATACATTTTTGGGATCGGTCATTAGATTTGAATAATATTATATGTTTTAATGGAGCAAAAATTTTCATTTGCTTCGCAGTATTGTTTAGCAACACATAACCTAGCAGATTCAACTTACATCTTTGTAAACTAATTTCTGTGACAAGCTTTGACTATCACTCACATCATGCTGGTATGTAGCACAAAACTGTGCCCCATGCACAGCTCTCGAACCTAGTTAGAGTTGGTTCAATATTGAGCATTTTGATGCTAATGACTGTTGGTGTCAAAATTGATGGTATTTTGAACGATGGCAGCCAAACGAAAAGCTATTATTACCTCTAAACCCACCAAACCCTTCTGATTCATGCAGTTTTATATTTATATATAATTTTATACACGTATTTAGATTTTCTTTGAAAAATTTGAAAATTTAAAAATTACTTTTGAATTATATTCAGTTTTAAAACCAAAAATAGATGGTCTTTCAAGTGCTACCCAAAACGTGTTAATATCTCAATCTCATGAGATTGTTTCTCAATGTTTAGGAATTAAAGGACACCCCGCTTTTAAAAATAAATCTCAATCTTTTAGAATTTTTAAAAATGCAAACAAATATATTGTGGCATTTTTATGGAGGATAAACATGAAGTACCCAATATCAAGACTGAAAAGTAACATTTGATTACATAAATTTCAATTTAATATATATAACAGTAATATAGTAATATAATATTGCACAAGTGAATGATTGCATCAATATAATACATATTACGATAGGAAAATATTCATATTTCATGTGTAGTCAATTAGAATAAAATTCTTTTCATAAAAATCAATCCAATCCAAATGTTTACAATATTGTTTACTAGTATGAGAGAGCTTAGACTTTTACTCGTATTGCATACGTCAGGAAAGATTTTCTCTTATTGAATCATGCAATAAGAGTAAGACATGCTTAAAAAATTTGAATACATTTTTAAAAGGTAGACATGTATATAAAAATAGGCTATCACATTTCTTTTTCTCCTTTTGACTATTTAGCATGAATACATTTCTTCCATCAAAAAGAAATATTTTTAAAAGATAAATGAAAAGCTGATTGTCCTCTAATCGGATCTGTTTGCAGTGAAGTAAAGTTGTTCCATGTCAGTCATTATTGGGATTTCCAAAACAGGAAGTAAATTAAATCGGGTCATCCAAAGTCTAAATGACGAATGTCTAAACGAAAGAAACCCGAACGTAGGTGAGTTTTTCATTTACAAAATATCTAAATATTTTCAACTTTGATTTTAAATTTAAATTCTCGAACGTTTATACATAAATCATGCTGTTTGATGATTAACCCGTATTGCCAACAGAAAACTTATTATCATCAATTCAAATACTAAGATTTTTTACTTTTAAAATCCCAGAAAGTTTACAATATTACTTCTATTTCTTGCCTTTGAAATGATAATTTGCTAGATAGAATTTTGGTTTAGATAATTATCTGGGAAACATAACCCTTATATTATTTTAAATATTCAACAAGAATTATTTATGGTCTATTGGTTTCACAGCTAATCAAAATTTTGTTTAAACCATTAGGCCTGCATCAAATGGAAAGACCATAATTAAAGGAAGATTGGGTCATTAATCCTTAAAAATACTGCAATATATATATATATATATATATATATATATATATATATATATATATATATATATATATATATATATATATATATATCATCAGACACCCTTTGAAAGGTAGAATCTGTACTGTAAAATATTGTATTCATTTGTAAACCTGTTTCCACAAATGAAACGGGATAAAGGATGAACGTGATCTTAAGAGGTCTGCCGACTTCCATTTAAATTTCTATGTGGATGAAATGCATAAATAAATAAATAAATAAATAAATAGATAAATAAATAAATAAATAAATAAATAAATAAATAAATAAATAAATATCTGGGTGACTGACTTTTATAGGTACATGTACAGGGACAAATGTCATGTGTGGAAGCTTTCGGATAAACATTTTTCATCTTCTTATTGAAATGCAAGACGCCAACAAACAGAATAATTTACCACAATATTGATGATTCTTTTTAAAATTGGAAAAAAAGAAGAGACGTTGCTTCAAAGCGTGCATATTTAATTTTTCGTGTAATGCTAGAATGTAGAAACACTATATATACATATATTAAATGACTTTAATAAATTCAATCAAGAATGGTTCAATTTGATAGCATGTTGATATCCTTTTCTGAATTAAACTATTTTCTTTTCAATCTTCCTTTATGTTAATAAAAAAGTAAAAAATAAAATCCTACCTTGTCATGATGATCCTCAGAACAATCATGTCCCTGCTTATATTACATTTAAAAATTCTGCTGAAAACATATGTAATTTTTTTTTTTTAAAAATGCATGTAAATTTCATCTATATTAAATTTTCAGGTAAAGTGTTATAATTCATAAACATTTACAGAGAGAAAGTTTCTGAAATTAACGGTCTCTGAACACACATTTTTCATTGCTCAATTTATCTTTTTCTTTCTTTTTTTCTTTCTGTTTATTTTTAGCAATTTGTCTTGACTTAAATAAAAAAGAAAACTTTGTCTAAGATGAAGAATACGAATTTATTCGGTCTGCCAAAAGAGACGTCTTCTTCAAATACTGTCAACGTACAACTCAGCCGTACACATTTCGCAATATCTTAGTTCTTATAGAAATAATAACTATACAGGATCGAGCTTTAAAATAGGTTAAGTTGGCTCTTTAACGATGTATATTTTAACCTTTATACTTCATTTGTTTTTGTTAACTAGGTCATGTGCTGTAAATAGGAAGAATCAAACACCGTGATTTGCGATAACCTTAGAGGGTAAATCATCCTTACCTGAATGCAATGCAAATGTCTTTGAATTCTTTAAATCACAAACCAGGCAAAATATTTGCATCTAATCATATCCAAAAATCGTTATGACATTTTCATCAATCACTGAACATTTTAGCAATGCGCTACGGATAACAGACAGATTTAGCAAACTGCAATGGGTAATTGGAAAGTATACTTATGAGTAGCCGAGTTCGATTTAAAATAAAGAGCCTCTGCATATTTTGGAACATTTTGAATAGTATAAACAAACGTTCATACCCCATTTTCATTAGACTGGCACATAAGCTACAGTCCGATGATTTAAAAAAAAACACTTGTAAAGATCTATGCATTTTAAGGTAAGTTGAAATATTCTCATATTTATATGATAACATCACTCTGATAAAGTTTACAATCCATATTCTACAATAATGGGTTAGTTATTTAAAAAAAAAAAAAGAAAGATATATGCAGGCACGTAAATAGTATGGGGGTGGGGGCTGGCCTCCCTCTTTTTTTCCAAACATAACTTTTACTGTTTAAAATGTTCATTGAAAGGCTGATTCCCCCACACTTTTTGTTGCAGTTAGTCAAATCAGGGATATGTATAAATAGATGTTGTTTGTGAAAGAAGTTAGAACCTAACACCCCCACCCCACACACGAAGTAAGATTTACAAGTTTGGAAATTTTCCTTCTTTTTTTTTTGCTTGTCAAAGTTTTTCTCAGGTAAGTTGTCATTTTTTCTGGCTGGTCCCTCGCTTTCAAAAGTTAAATATGTAGATAACGAACAGTATCCAAGCTCATTAAAATAATACAAATCGGGAGCAAAGCAAACCAGGACCTCCAAAAACAGAGGTGGGGTCAGGTGCCACAATACTACATGCCTTCTTTGAGATATGCATACCTATATATATATATATATATATATACAGTGGCTGCAACGTTATTGTTGACAAACCAATCGTGTAGAATCGTTCGTGTAACGTGCGTGATCGTTCGTGTAACGTGCGAGATCGTGTGTGTATCAGACTCAATCGTTTGCGGTTTTAATCGTGCGTGATCGTGCGTTAAAAAACGTGTAAATTTCGTTTTGTAAGATTTTATCGGAATGTTATATGCTATACAAGCATTTCACTTGTCTGTTTTTTTCCAATCCAAATAAAATAAATGAAGCGCGATTTACATAACTGAAAGCAGAACGAACTAATTATCGCTTGGAAATAAGCAATATAGTAAGTCGTACAATATTGTGTTCTCGTCAAATAGCATGATTTTTTGTGATAAACCGTAGTTAGATGTTTAAAGATTTTTTCTCTAATGTTAATTATGTTTACTGCAAATTATGGTGAAGATATTTTTAAAATCAATTGATCAAAAATAGATATTTTTACAAATAAATAAATAAACAATTCTCAATGCTTACATAAATATTTAGTTGGCGAATGTACATGAAATGATTGTCGGGGTTTCGTTTATCAGTGTTTTATCTGGAGCTTACTTTTAATTATTTTTATAATTTCTGCAAATAAATGACTTGTAAAATAATTGTTGATTTTAGAGATTCACAAATGGAAACATGAATATAACTTATAATTTAATTCATTTTCGTGCCAATAGGCATTTTTTTTCCAAACTTATCCCTTTCTGCATATTACGAAATCAAAACTCATGGTCCATCTACATGTACATCTTCTGATAGAAGGGGGAAAAATCAGTTTTCTTAAGTCGTCGAATTACGTAAATAATTATTTGTAATCTAAAATAATTAACGTCTTACATGTATTTACTTCCAAAAATATCCATTTCTTTCTCTTTTTTTTCATTTTTCAAAGTCGATGAAATAATTTCAATACATGTAATTATTTGAAATCTAAAATAAGTATTAAGCCTTATTTCGTTTTGAAAATATCCATTCCTAAAGAATTTGAACTATTTTGCGTGAAGAATCGTGCGTTAGCGTTAGCAATCGTGTAAGATCGTATAACGTATAGAATGGTGTGCGTGAAGGATCGTTCGTGTAACAGATTTTATCGTGCGTTAATCGTGCGGAATCGTTCGTGTAACGTGATCGTTCGTGTAAGTTGTCAACAATAACGTTGCAGCCACTGTATATATATATATATATATATATATATATATATATATATATATATATATATATATATATATATATATATATATATATATATATATATATAATAAAAATATTTCTCTGAAAAAGTGAAAATAATATAATATCAATTGTAGCCTTAGGATTATGACTTTGTATCTTGTCTTGGCGTCGTTGTTGCCGGTGATAATCGTTTCACAGGATGCCCAATCCCTGAACGGTCTCACTTTTTCAAATGAGCTTAAAAGAATGGATAGAAACGGAATTGGTGCTCCCAATCTGCAGGTAAAGATTACTTTGAAATTGTTCATCCGCTTTCTTCTAAGATTATTCAAGATGTGACTGCTAAAATGGCATTTAACTTCAGCAAGTTTAAAGAATCAAAGAATAATTTCATTTGTGTAGCAATTTTGTATTAATAGGAATACTATGATAGCCTGATATATGATAAACCAACAGATACAGGCACAGAGATTGCGCATAAGGTAAGAAAATGGGTAACTGGGTGACGTGCAGTTTAAAGTAATCTACATTTAAATTATTCACACATTTTATTCCACTACTGCAGACATGGAATGATAATTTAAAAAACGTATTAAAGCCAGTTTGTTATGGTCTATTCTGGTGACATTAATGCTGCACTACAGTGTTAAATTTTGCTATACATATTTTTATTTAAATGCACAACTTTGAGTAGGTAGTATTAAATCAAAACAAACTTGTGGGAGTATACCTTTTTCTTTTCAGGACTTCGTGTTTTACGTGTATAAATCATTTCAAATTGAATTTCAATTGATTTTAATATTTTCATTAAAAGATATTTTTTAAGAAGAGCTTACATAAATAATCCCAATTTCACTTTTCCAGATGGCCAGTAATTTAGGAAAAATGTTCGAAACATTGACAAACCAACTTCAGAATGTAAAACGTGCAATAGAGGACCAATACGAACATTTCTCTTCATCTGATTTGGAGATTTTCCCTCAATGCTGCAAAATAACTGGCAATTACAACCCTAAGTTCAGAACAAAGGTAAATGAATTTTATTAGGCTGATTTGCATTGAGATTCAACTGATGGCTTCATATCTTCACATTCTCATACACTGATATTTTCTCCTGTGTTTCGTAAGGATACATCTGTAGTAATAATAACAACTAACTTATTAACTAGCTAGATCAGGTTTGTAACTCCATTTGGAAGACGTGTTAAAGGACAACTTTTCATGGTTCAACCTACGGAATGATAATACGTTTTTCACTTTACAGGAATTATTTAAAATTTATATGAATACAACTAATAAAATTTCTTTTTTAATGTGTTACATGTATTTGGGTCTTTAACGGTCAGAATTATTGCAGAGAAAGCTTACATAACTAGCAAACGCTGTTTTTTTCTCTCTCTCTGTAATGCTGCAATCCTCATACCGGTATCCCGTTAAAGATGGTAATTTATCGGAAAAATAACTTTAAACATCTTTCAATAACAAGGGAGTTTCACTTTGTACATTTGATTTGCAGGTAAATACATGTATATATATATATTAAATTCAAGATCTTCAAATCATTATGCTATGTATCTTGTTAGTGTTAAGTCATATTGGTTCAAAAATATGATAGAAAATTAGCTGTTTTTACTTCATTGAGCAATAATTTATTAATTAGTATGACTGAGCTAGATTTTGATGAATGCATGTCTTCTTCTGGCTTAATTGGGTCATCATTAAAGGATTGATCATATACGGATTTATTTTTCAATGAGGGCATTATTGTGACACAGTATCCCAAATTAAGCTTAAGAGAAATGTCTTTCAATCTTGAAATTTTATATCCGATCCATGTGCGATCAAAATTTAATTCAAAATACAGTTGAACTTCGGCATCTCGAATAACTCGAATACCATGGATATGTCCAAGTAATTTGGACGTCCCAAGCTCTTTTTCTTTACCTTCAATATCTCGAACCCTCCAACATCTCGAAGTTTTTCCTCGGCCATAGACTTCGTGATAACGAGGTTTGACTGTATTCCATCAGGTATGTTGAGTATTTCTGAATGTTCTGACAGCCATTTTTACTTTGATAAAGTAGTTCGTATTACATTTTCTCAATACCATCCACCCAGGAAATGTTCAAAAATTGATTAAAGGCATAATATTGTTTTTATCTTTTAACCCAGGTTTCCGAAAGCAGTGCATGTATATCAAAGTCCACAACATCTGACCATTACCCAAACAAAGATATTGAAACCGTTATGAAAAAGAACTATGAGCGGAATCCTAATATTCTCTGGCAGTACTTCGGCGGAAGTGATGGAACATTCCTAATCTATCCCTCTCATGGTTTTAGTCCCAACTGTTTTTCATACGATCCAAGATTTCGGTACGTTTCTCATGTTTACTGTCAGATTGTAACAGTATTTTATTCTTAAGTTTTCTATTTACTGCCTTCCGGTCAAATCATAACACAACTATAAGTAAAATCTTCAAGTATATCATTAATCATAAAGTTAATCATTTTAGTTTAGATTCCATAAAAAAAATAATTAATATACAGATTCCTCGAATTGGAACAAGATAAAGACTAAGCTTACTTGAAGCCTCTCTCAAAAGTTATATAGATATCGTTGAAATTCTGTCTAGCTGTTTTAAAAAGGAAAGTATACACTAGGCCTTCTGCATATCAGTACGTATATTTTTTTTTTTATTCCTCATTCTTTGTTCATTTCAAATGATTATTGTTTTAGATAATATTTTTTACCTGACACCTTAAATTTCAGTCAAGGTTCATTATTTCCGTAAACTGTTTCCGACAATACCGTTCTTCCTCTTCAGTGATGTGATACTTCCTTGCGTATTTGTTTATTTATGTTTTTGCGTGTAAAGGAAAATCTACGAACAACTGCACAAGATTGTAAGGTTGAACAAACATGTATGATTTTTACCAAACCGCTGGTAAAACAAAGCCAATTAAAAGAAAAAGCTGAAACAAAGCTGACTAAAAAGGTTGGGATGATTTCAATCCATCAAAAATACTAGAACAAATAACCTGAAAAAAAAACCCATACTAGTTGAGAAGCAACAAGCAAATTCAAAGAATTATGCCCCCCCCCCCCCCCCCGCTTTCGACTTCTCAGTGACTGAGATGCAATTGTTAATGGCATATTGTTACTGTCTTTTTTGTGTGTCCTGTCTTGTCTGTCAATTATGTATACAAAAAAGATGTAAAGTTTTGAATGAATAAAGTTAGGAAAAAGGTAAAAAAAAATCATCGAACTTCAAGAACAAGGTCAAATAAATAAATACAATCCGAAAGGTCTCGTAACAAGTTATGCACATGTGAAAAAAAATACGAAAGTCCCGTCTCTTCTGGAGTCCTAATCACGAGGTCAAAAACCAAAGTCCATTTGGAAAGTTCTTGAAATAGTCCTTGCACATGTCAAATTAAAAACAGCGTCTCTCATTCAAAAATTATCAAGATCGTAGTGGCTAACCTAGGTGATAGATATCTATCTCTATTGAACGGACAGCTAGCCTACCTGCTAAGTCTGGTTTGGGATAAAAACTTATTTATGGAACCAAAAGAGTTTATTTCAAGCGAAGATATATATGTAAATTAACATTTAATTCGCTAAGATGTAGAAAATAATTTTCCGTTTTATGAAAATCTTGTGTGCTGTAAAGTTGTAACTAAGAAGGTCATCTTGGATTTGGTACATAGCATTAAATATTTATGCTAGCTCTCCTTACGAAGCGGCTATGCTAGCTCTCCGCTCAAGAACGTGACTTTACATAGCAGCTACGTTGTTGAACGCACCCCAGAAATGTTAAAGTTTTTGAAAATTACGTTAAACATCAAGGTCAAAGTCAAGAGGTCAAAAATCAAAGGAATATTTGGAAAGGTTTTGTCTCAGGTAATACACATGTCAAATAAAAACGACCTATCTTTTCTAGTCATTCAATAAATACTTTTTTAAATTAGGTGAATTCAAGGTCAAGCATATGATGTTGAAAATAATATAACATTTGGAAACGTCTTGGCACAAGTTATACACATGTACAATATGAATGCAATATCTTTTCTTCAAAAAAAAAAGCAGCAATGATACTTTCTTTTTTAAAAAATTAGGTCAAACTTCAAGGTCAACGTAACGGGGTCAAAAGTCATAGCACGTTTGGAAATATTTTGTTACAGATAATACACATGTCAAATATGAATGCCCTACCATTCAAAAGTTATCATCATTGAGAATAATTTTGAAAATGAGCTCAGAGTTCAAAGTCAATGATATGATGTTGAAAATAATAGTACATTTGGAACGTCTTCTCATGTAAAATATGATACCCTATTTTCTCTCTTTCAAAAGTAAGCAGCAATGAATTCTTAATAGGTCAAACTTCAAGGTCAAGGACACAGGATAAAAAATCATGGCAAGCTCGAAAACATCTTGTGACGGATAATGCATAATAATTTTGTCAAATATGAATGTCCTATCTTTTCTCATTCAAAAGTTATCTTCAATGTAAAAAATGTAGAAAATTAGGTCAAACTTCAAGGTCAAGTTCTCGGGGTCAAAAATCATAGCTTATTTGGGAAGGTCTTGTCACAGTCAATGTACATGTGAAATATGAAAGCCCTATCTTTCCTCATTCAAAAGTTATGACTAAGGTTAAAATTTTTGTGACAGACTGACAGTTGAATGATATTTAATGTCCCCTCGCTTTTGTGAAATTGGAGGACAATAATTTTAAAGTTGTTTTAAAAATAGTTCACCAAACAAGATTGGATGTTGTTGCACATACACTTGTGTCCTCCCACTCTCAACCCCGCTGTCCCTTTAGGTATGACCTTATGATAGAGTATTCATCCCTTCAGATGAAAACCAAATTACATACTTTGAAATAAATGTGATTTCTTCACAGGCCATATTATGTAGCCTCGGCAACAAACAAACCCAAAGACGTTGTAGTAGCAGTGGACACTTCTGGGATTACGACCGGACGCAGTAGCTACGAATCTAGGACACTTCTAAGTGTGGCACGTGAGGCAGTGCAATACGTCATTGACACATTGAATCCAAACGACAGGGTAAATTATTCTTGATAAACTGTCTGAAGAGTTCATGTATTCATATAATACCTTGTTCTTAGTATTTCATAACATTCCAGGACATATCCTCAGTGCATAATCAGAGAAACTAAGAATGGGTTTACGTTAATTTCTGAGTTTGTTAAGTTATTAGCTATTGTTATCTGTTTTTGTATATCGTCATGCCTAAACATTTGAACATTTTCAGCTTCTCTGGAACCACTGAACCAATTTCAACAAATTTTGGCAAAGAACATTTATGAGTGAAAGGAAACCAAAATTGTGAATTTCACGGTCCTTGCCCATGGTTATGATGAATAGGAATGCCTTTTCAAAACAATTTGAAATTCATAACCCCTGGGTCATCACTTTGGTGTTAGGGTGAGCCTCTTTTGAATTATTAGTAAAACTGCATTATTTCTGTGAGCAAGGATGCCTCTTTCAATCTTGTGAATTTCTTGGCCCCTGGGCCAGGAGCACTGGTATTAGGGTTGAGCTATGTGGAATTTGTAGTGAAATTGGATTACTAGTGTAATGTTTCCAGTTTGAGTTTATTGGAAGCGACATTCCACCTCGTGAAGAGGGTAAAAAACTATAAACAATTCAAAAAGAACATAAACAAATGACATATATATCATCTAGATTTACCAAAAACATAATAATTGACATTAACAATAGTTTCTTGTACATGACTTCACTGAACAGACTGACATTTTACTAAAATATTATTTAAACATTTAAATTTAGCAGCATCATTGGTATTTATAAAACAATTCAAATGTGTTCTAAACATTATCTTTCTTGAAATTTTATGAATTAGATAATTACTTACTCCTGTGAGGCTTTACCAAGTACAAGCACATGTTAAATTGAAACATTCTGCTCTCGGGCGGAAACAAAAGCAAATACATAATAATCAAACCTGTAACGGAAAAATTTCCGGATCGGGGACTTTACAACTAGTATTTCTTTGAAAATCTTCTCTGCTCCTGGATATGTAGAAGGCAATCAGAGTATATAAATTGTAATAAGCAAGGGTGTTACCAGATTTTGAAATTCTGTACCACTTGGACAATTTATTAATTTTTATTCTACTGAAATAAGTTATTCCCCTTTGCTATTCACCTAGGATAATTAATCACTGTAAATAATGTAACTTAAAAGGTCAATTGAATAACAATTCAAGAACTTTTATAACATTTAATACAAAAAGTATTTTCGTACTTTTTAATGATCAGGTAGTCTTAAATAATAGATAAACAAAAAAATTGGTCAAAAATACCTTACCTTTGTACATTAAATAATCTTCAAAGACTAAGAAAGGCCAATGTGGGAGGGAATGAAATGGGTTTGTTAATGTACAATCATACTGAAGAATTATTGTTTTGTTTAGTCTGTATGGGGATAGTGACAATTGGGTGCATGTACAGGCAAATAAATAGATCAACTTTGAGATTTGCTACTGAGCAGTAAATTTTTGCCGATCTCTGACCATCTTATTTCTCTTTCCTTTGGGCAACAGAGGGGTTAATTTATCAGCATATTTTGTTTTAATCTATAAATCGTTTCACTATATTCACGTGACCGTTAAGGCCCTTGTTTGTACATACCACTGGCGGATTTAAGGGGGGCATGGGGGGCACACCCCCCCCCTAAAATTTTCAAAGTATGACATGACTAATATTAATGATGCCATACTTTGGTTTTATAATTAATGGTCAATTAAAAAATGGTAATTTTATTTAATGACCAAGTATCGGTTTTCTTAAAAATCAAGTCTGAAAACCTTGCATTCCCTAGGCTATGCTATCTCATAATTATTCAAACCGGAAAACGTCGAGCCAATTTCGATTGAAGGGTATACTGCACTTGTCAATTTCCTATCATGATGCAAGAAAAAATACTGGAATATATAAAGGCTGGTCGAAGGTAAATACATGAATTTAAAATCAGACGGTCTACGTTACAAACCCGTCCACTGATTGATGTATTTATTTATCAAATGGTGTAACTATGCAGTAATTTACTTACATAGATACAAGACTTTTTTTCATTACACACGTCTCATATTCTTTCCATATAAATGGAATTTAACGTCAGGATATAGGTTAGGATGGTGTAACTTCGACCACCTGGTTAATTTCGACCGTTCATAAACACCTCAAAATAATTTGTTTATAACCCATTATAGTGAACACTCATCTATTTTATGCAGAAAGAAAATGCATTTTTCATATACAAATCAATGTCGATAATAATAGGAGAAATTTATTTCTTCACTAGAAAATTACATCCAAGAAGAAACCTTATCGCCCGAAAAATCAAAGATGAGTATTTTTAAACCATTGCGGGGAATTATCAGTTTATCACCTCTGAAAATATCTTGTATATATAGAAAGACACAGTGGATATTCCTGGCGTGAAATTTATCAACTATGTTTAATTTTACAACTTAAATTCATACCTTTTTAATTTATAGTATTTAGTTTTTACAAATAAAATGCAAATCAGTTGAACAGAAATCGGCCGAAGTAACCCATGCATGAATACGGCGTCAACGGGTAACTCAGTTCGACCAATGAAAATGACGCATTGCTATTTGTTACCAGAAAAAAAATCATGACCACCGTCCGTATGAAAAAATTATTAGGATAAGTATTATGTACAAGAATACTTCGTAGAAACTAGTTCTTTAACAGTGAAAAAATCATCTGTTCTATTTACATGCGGTTTAGATGCCTGCGCATATGTATACATTTGTGGCATGCCTTGACAAATCGGTAAATCAGTTCTAGGCACCTGGTGCACTTATAGTCTTCAAATTAGGTACATTTTGAAAATTACTGTTTTTTGTCAGCATTTTTTCACAATCTTTTATGTTTTACAACAGAATAATTTAAATTAATATATATATTTTTAAATTAGAGATGACATGAATAATTTCGTTTATATTTGCACATCGATCAAAAATACCCTGTGTGCGCGGTAGAAGTTACCCAACACACATATCTTGTAAATCGAACACATTTATTTTATATCATGACCAATAATACATATAATACAATGTAATCTGAACAATAAAAGGTATTCACCACCAGCCCTCGTAAGTGACAATGCACTTTGAAAAACATTCTGATTTTTGTGACTTCTTGTATATCTAGGAAAATGCTATTTTTAAAATCTGATCTTGTTTGTTCGTTGTATTTTGGGGTTTGTATGTGTGTGTGTGTGTTTTTTAAAAAGTGAAATATCATAGTGTACATAACTAATCAATACCACTATTTTTGTGCCTGGTTTTACTCTTAAAATTCACGAAAACCCAGGAGGTTCCGGGGGCTTCGCCCCCTGGGCCCCCACCAGGGCTTCGTCCTGGACCCACTGGGGGCCTTAAGGCGGCCCCCAGACCCCTTGCCTGAACAAAGTTATCCACGCCCCCCTAATCACAAATCCTGTATCCGCCCATGCATACCAGTCCAAACTTTTTAAAAATCATTTTATAGACCAAAAAAATGTTTTGAGGAATAAAATTCAAGACCTTTGGTCCGATGACCGAATACCAAACACTGACAAGTGTTTCTCATTTCTGATCAACAAGTGAATCTTTTTGGGCAAAAAATACTCGGGATGCATTTTATTTTTCTGTAGCCCATTTAAACATTACCTTGGTTTATACCAGTTTTTCCAGGTGTGAAACTTAATAGAATGTTGGAAAAAGAAACCCCTTTCCGTTTTTGACGTGATTTTCAAGCCCCTAATTATTTGGACATTCCATATAAAATTTACGATAAAATTTCATAGAGCTTACAGAATGGGGTAAAAATTGCATTTTTTTACGGGACAATTGTGTCCTACTATATTCCTGAATTAACGGGATTTTTTGTGACAAATGTTTATATCAAAAGAGATTTTCTCATTTACACTCAGGTAGAAAAAACGTCATATTTGAGGTTCCGCCGCCTGGACATAACATTGCTTCCAAAAACATTAACATTTAATTTAAAAAATGAAACTTTTGATTGATATTTTATTTAATAGATAGAAAAGATTATGCTAAGTAAATGTTTTAAAACCCATTGATATACCTAAAGCGGTTTTAATTTTATGGCGCTAGTTCAAAAACTTTTTGATAACCCCTCGTACAATTATTGCTGTTTTTGAGGTCAATATGATGATTTAGCTACCTGAGGAGTACAATGTTCCACGAGCTCGAAGGCGATGTGAATATTGTACTTCGAAGAAACTAAATCATCGCATTGACCTCAAAACAGCAATAATTGTTTTATTATATGATTCAATGAATAAATGAAACGTATTAACCAATCAATGCCATCTAACTTGTTTACATTTGCTGAAATCCTAGCTACGAAAGCCAAACGCAATGAGAGCTAGACGCAGGGTTATGAAAAGAATTTTTAGTCGTATGAGTTTGGAATTTTTAAATTTATTTAAGGTGCATAGAAAACATAAACGTCGTAGATAAGATCGATTTTGAAAAGGGGGGGGGGGCATTACAAAATTTTAAGTTTTATTATTAGTGAAAATAAAATGAGTCAATCATTGATATGTACTCTGGAAAAATATTAACCTGCATGTGTCAAATGGACTTTTTGAAAATAAGTTGCTTTAACCAAATTTAGATCGGAATAGTAGCATTTAATGAAGAGGTCATCAAGCCAACCTCATGTCATGGCACCCATTTGGCAAAGGCAACAACTACCAACAAAGAGGTATTAAAACGCTTCACTAATGATTGGGTATCAAGCAAACAATCACACTACGACGAGGGAATTAAAGCTGCCTTCTCATACTTCAATATTAAAGACATCAGCACACAAGGAGGTGAAAGAGGTAAAAAGCAGAACGTTGCATGATCTAATCTCAAAATACAGATAATAACTTTGAATTCCATTAGAAGTCTTTTTCAAACAATTTGATTAATCACATTTCAATTCTATATACCCCAAAAGCAGGAATGGAAAAAAAATTCTATTTGATTAAAATTACAGTATGGTTTAGGCAAATTGTCAAGGATAGCTAAAATTGTTACGTTTAATCCCTGATTCCCAGTGAATTGTTCATTCTATTAGTACTTTGCCTTATACCAATGGAATGAATAGAAAATAAGGAATTTAAGGGCAAGAGAACTTACTACTAAAATAATTTTAGCTTTTCTAACTTCTTTCCTACCTAATATTTTTGATTAGAATTGCTCTCTAAAAATATCTGTATTTTAAATTAATTCAAAGAAAATGATTTGCAAAAACATACATGTATTTTGGTCCCAGTCGTGAGTTCTTTGTAAGTTCTTTTGGAAAATGGTGACATGGATTCTTTTTTACGCCATTTCTAATGTACATCATCATCCTGATCTAAAATTATAGCTTCGACGATTATCATTAATGTTTCAGATATATTATGCACTTATAGATTAGCAATCCTTTTTTATAACAAAAAATACCGATAGTGAAAATTACTAGTATGTTATTTTTTTCTGAAAATGTTTTGATGAAAATTATCTTTTAATATTTCATTAAGTATACATTTTCTTAAGTTTTTGCCATTATGTTTTTATTACTGTTTCAGAATCTGTTATTTTGTTTTTGGCGGCTGGTGATAATGCCGGTGACGACCCTGTGGATGTCATCAAAACTGAAAACGAGGCTCGGAATAACTCAGTTACCATTCTTACATATTCGTTTGGAGGTGGTAAGCATTCAATATTACACGTTTATTAGACGTTTTGCAATACATGCTTATATTGAAAATATTTATAGGCTAAAGTAACATTGAAATAAAAAATTATGTTTTTCTATTTTAGGTTTGAGTGATCATTGGAAAAAGGTTTTGCAGAATATGAGTAAACAAGTCACTAATGATCGTTCATTTGGACCAGTAAAAGTAATTCTCATGGATGATGCCTCTTATGTTATCTTCATTTAAATGAAAAATACGAGGGCTGTTCGGAAATTATTGAGACATTGTTTATATTTTTCTTTCTAATCAACGTCGTTCGTTGAAAATTTGCACATACATTTGACAAACACTAAGAATTAATAAAAGCCAGAAATATTTTACAAATATTTCATTTTTTCTTTTCAATGAAATATTTTTGTGTTAGTGGTAGGGGTACCCGGCGCAGTCACGAAATCAGATTTTGAAAATACGTAACACCAACGTTCAAACCCCCGATGGACCCATAGTAAGAGCGAAAATAATTCAATTTATGTATATAATTTTTCTATTTTTCTTTGACTTCATTTTGTGCAAGTTTGTTAGAATTTCGATGAGAAATTCGGCGATCATAAAAAAAAATTAAGCGCGGTAAAGAAATCTGTTAAGGACGGAAAATTTGCATATACAATGGCAATGGAATTTGACGTCAAGGCGGAGCAGCGAGCATACGTAAAATTTTGTGTAGCGCTATGGAGAACTCTTTTCCAGACTGAAAGACCTGCTAAAACAATAACAATGAGAAAAAACATGTCTCAGGGTTTGTTTTTTTCATTGACATATATTTTTTTCTTACCAATAATTCAAACAGAGTAAAAACAAAAGCTCCGGACGACCATCAATTATTACGGATTGACCCGCGTAGCATAAATCGGTACTGCATGATGCTCAGTCAACCTCTATATGACACATGTATATTTTACACTGGGGTAGCAACACACATTTTTCTAAGAAAAAAAAAATTAAAGAATCGTTTAAGAAAAGAGACAGTTTGGTTTTTGGAATGTTATATGTGATAACAGAGAAAGAAGAGTAAACGCTTCCCGATCTTTTCATATGCGAAAACATCTCCTGCTGACGTGACGTTTAAATGACGTAGCGATGCTGCTCCGGGTCGATAGACATATGTATGTTTATAATTTTACCAGAACTTGACGAAATTGACGAATTTTCATGAATTTAGCACTGTCCTTTATGGAGTTAAATTAAATGTCTCAATAATTTCCGAACAGCCCTCGTATATGATCTTAATAAAAGTAACATATTCATAGCAACCACATTCAAAGAACATACATTAGAATGTGCGTGAAAAAGAGTTGTTGGACATTTTATTAAATAATTTGTTTCTAGTACGTGATATGCGTATACTTATTAATGAAATTGCTACACTAGGTTCCATGCTAAATAGAGCAGAGATTTAAACGAGTAAAATATATTTGTTGGTAATACAGACTACCTTAAAATTTACCTTATATATCCCATTGCAACATTATTTTCATACATCTGTTTAATGCATGTCTGCTAAATTCGGTGTAATTTTGTTGATTTTAAATGACAGGAGGGGACTTATAAGGAAGTAAAAGATGATTCTTTACTTCGTTCTGACATGGCGTCTTATTACAAAGACCTTTCTAGTACCAACCTGGGTAGCAATCCCGTATTTTCTGTGCCATACGTAGACGGACGATCCAAGGAAACAGGTAAAGATTTTCAACATGACATTTCAAATTCTGTATTCAAATGTTAATTTTCTTTCATTTTATTTAATTCTTCATAATCTGATTAAAATCATAATGAAAGGAATAAGTCATTGAAAACATTCCATTTACTCTGAAAACAAGTATTTCGTATACATACGAGAATGTGTGTTTTTATTCCTGTAAGGTTTGATAACTTCTCTCTGTCTACCGGTTGAGACATCTGGGTCATTGAGAGGAGTCACGTGTACAGACATTCTGTTAGACGAACTACTGTCTGATATCACGAATTTCAAGCAAGGAGAACTGTCATATGCATTCATGATAGATGGACAAGGCCGTGTTATGGTCCACTACTTGCAACCGACACCAAATGCCATCACAATTGATCCAGATCCTATAGATATCCATGTGCTGGAACCAAGTGTCGATGCAAAACCAATGATAGAGTCAATGAAAAGGTATCAGAAAAAAATCTTTTAAACTTTAGAATAATGTTAGAACTAGAAATGTTTAATAATATGAATTAGGGATTTTTAAGTTAAAAGAGCATCCTGGTTTCGAGGGTATTGACAAATGCATTTCAATTTCACACAGACAGTCATGTACACTCACAAAAGACATAATAGAGAGAGAGAGAAAGAGACAGAGATTTCTTGGGTTACTTAGATTAACCAATGTGGATTGTATCTATTTATTGAGAACAACCTTAAGGATATCCGATCCTCAGCCAGGAAGGATAACTCTTTAATTTATTATTTAATTCAAAAAGTCTCAAAATGAAGCTTAAATATGAAATCTTTTCCTGCATCAATTTTTTATTTTATGCATCTCAATGTGATTCAAGGTTCTTTGAAGTTTTATAAACAGTTTTTTAAAACGTTGATATTTTTATACTGTAAAGGTATGTTAAAAATACAGATTTAAAAAAATCAACTTGTCATTTAATTTAGCCTTATATACTAATGCTAATTAACATGATATGAAATTAGAAATGATTTATGGTGTTTTGCAATGATAGGAAACACTTTATAAACTATGCATTATAAAATAATAGAAGTACACAGAAGAAACTAAAGTACTGTAAAAGTATAAAAATCATGCAATTTTCTTCAAATAACTGGATACCTATAGTTTTTTCTATCCTAAATTGTTTTTGTTGATCAATTTCCAATTAGAAAATGCATAGTAGGTGTCTTTATTCGCATTTCCTGAAATTTTATTTGAGATTTACTAATTTTTCCTATATAATATCATTAACTTTAATGATGAAGTTTGAACAATTGCCGTGGGTAAATTCACATTACTTTGAGAATTCATATACAGTTTTGTGAGCATTTTCAATTATTCAATGCCTGATTTTCAGAACCCGAGGATCGGACCACCTAAAGTCGAAATTTCAAATAAGTATAATATTTGAAATAATTTCGAAATAAAACAAATTTTGATAATGTGCTATTGGACATTACTTATTTTGTTATGTTTATCGTATGTAATAAGGAATAAAATCTAATGAAACTAGCGAATCTGGGTCAGAAAAGTATTTTGAGTGTTTTCAGCTGAATGTTCGAAAATCAGAATAATTTCCAAGTTTACGAAGTTTACATATTATGTGATTTTTCAATATCAAATGACCAACATTTGTCACACATTTCACATTTGAAATACCAGTGAATGTTTTTGTTGCGTTTGAATCCATGGAAATATATTTTTAAAAAAGGTTTCCTTTACTGCTTTCATTTATATGATGTTAATATATAGGACTTTACACTTACTTGAGCATTTAACTATTTCATTAAGGGGTGAAAGTGGTAGTAACAGTTTCAGCTACTTCCGGACTATATCTAGAGGAATTTTGGAATACGAAGGGATAGAGGCCCGATCAGTGGAAGCAGACTATAGTTGGACAAAAGTAATAAAAACAATAAACTTAAGCAAGTGCAGAAAAGTGTGTTGTTGTTATCTCTTGAATTAAATTTAATGTAGGAGTTCTTCAAAAAAAATTCTTACCTGCAAAAATGCAATGTACATAATATATGTTAGAGAATTTCTGCTGGCAAAATACATCTAATTCCTAATCTTTCCTTAAAATTCATATATGGAAACAATGTTCTACTTCTGAAAACTAATACTATTGATCTTTAAAGGTTCCAGGTACAAACTTTTCGTTGTGTGTTGTACTTGGAAAAAATGATCAGCAATCTCAATTGAAGCCAGGACAGCAAGGGTTATCAAGGAGTGGGGTATTCTACTATCACAGACTAGACCTGAACAGTCAAAACACACAGAAATGTAGAGAGTATGAAAGATATGCCACGAAAGGTATTAAATATACTGGAGATGAGTTATCTATCATTTTTTAACATTCTTTCTTGGGAAATACTACAGATTCTTCTTTTCTCGATTTCAAAATAACTACTAAAGAAATGGATATATGTTTTATGCCCCCGTATTTCGATTTGGGGGTATAGAGTTTTTGCACTGTCCGTCCGTCTGTCTGTTTATCTGTCCGCAAAATCTTTCACATTGCTCATAACTTTTGATTGTTAGAGCTATACCTTTCATATTTCACATGTGCATTTCTTGTGAGATGACCTTTCTTTGGGTACCATCATATTTGACCTTTTGACCTTGGAGTTTGACCCAGTTATACAAAATTTTACCTCACTTTATCCTTGGCCATAACTTTTAAACAGTTGGTGCTAGGGCTTTCGTACTTCAGATGTGTAATCTTTGTGACAAGACCTTCCTTTTGATACCAACAACACTCTGACCCTTTGACCTTGACATTGGAGTTTGACGTACCCGGTACTTTTGAAAAATTTCAACCTTTTCCATTACTTTTGAACAGTTAGTGCTAGGGCTTAATTTTTCTTATGTGTATTACTTGTGACAAGACCTTCCTTTAGATACCAACAATTATAGCCCATTGACTTTGACCTTGGAGTTTAAACTATTTTTGGAAAACTTTAACCTTGGCCATATCTATTGAGCAATTGGTGCTAGGGCTTTTATACTTCACATATGTAATCCTTGTGACAAGACCTTCTTTTGGATACGAAAAACTTTGACCCTTTGACCTTGTCCTTGGAGTTGGACCTACTTTTGAAATAGCCATATCTTTTGAACGGTTGGTGTTAGGATTTTCCATATTTCACATGTGTAATTCCTGTGAGAAGGCCTTTCCTTGGGCACCATTAATTTAAAACATTTGACCTTGACCTTGATGTATAACTTACTTTTGAAAAAGTTTAACCTTGCTAGGACTTTCATATTTCACAGGTATATTCCCCGGGACAAGACCTTACTTTGGGTACCAATATATTTGATTGCATTTGAGAAAGTTTAACCTTCGCTATAAGTTGCCATACGGGGGCATAAGTGTTTCACAAACACATCTTCTTTTCTGTTGTAAGAGAAGTCAATGGTAATGCTGTCTCCTCATACTTTTGAAAAACCCTACGAATACCTCTATAAGATAGAAACACAAGCAGCAGTAGTAGGTTACTCCAATTATTTGAACAGTATTCACAGTCAGCAAACCGAAAATGAATTGAAGTTAAAAGTAAGTCACAATCAAATTATAATAAATTTCCTGCTTACATAATTTTAATCAATTCCATAAATATTCTATTATTTCAATATTTATTCCGATTTTTAAAAGAAATCAATGGTCAATTGAAAATATATTAAATAGATGAAAATTGGATTTGGAAATAAAGGTTGAATACTGGTATTTCTATTAAATAGGATAACGTAAAAAGCAGTGTTCAAGCTACTTATAAAGCGGAAGAATTTTGGAGACAAAACCAAGACCAGTCACAGTTTGTGATATGGCGTTACTTAGGAACAAGAGATGGTCATGTCAGAGTTTATCCTGCGGTGGAAATCAGGAAGGACTATGACCCTTTCACGAGGCCCTGGTAAGTCAAAAATAAGTATAACCCACGAGATATACATATGTACTAAAATCTTCAGTGTTTTTGTGTGCAATGAAAGAAAAGGGTGATTTTGAAAATAATGTTTCTAGGTGGAGAAGAACTGTGGCTCAGAAAGGCAAGTATGTAGTGATAACCCCTTACGTGGACAACTGGGGAGCTGGGGTTGTGGTCACTCAGTGTAAAGCCATATACGAAGGAAGGTTAGACACTTTTCTTAAGACTTAATGTAATCAGATGATTAATTCATCATGAAAATAAAAATAATTCTCAATGTTTCTGTAAGAAAATGGCAGGAAAATAACCCCAGTATATTATATTTTAAGGGCCGATGGCCAGCATTCTGCAGATGATATCGTTGACGTTGTCCAGTGCATTGATTATCCATACCCCTACTTCAGCAGGATGTTTTTGAGTAACTACCCAGAATGCGCGAATAACGAATACAGGTTTTTTAATAACGTGTTTTAAAGGGTACCTGCAGTAGAAATGTTGAAATAAATGAAAGTACGAAATGAAATTTTCCGCTAAAACTTTATTTGTGACGGTAACTTCTTATCACAACGTGATCATTTAATTTTTTCCCCCTTAAATATTAAGTATTGGAGGAAAGTTCATGACATATCATGTTGAAGATGCTTAATTTACATAACAAGGCTTTAGAATGAATGTTTTGATTGGTTTGTTGATGTATTTAGGTGTTTATTTACACAATTACTTTGAGTTTTCTGATAACATTTATCCATACTCAAAATTTTACATTGTTAGCTGTATGGTGATTGACATAAGCGGTTTCCTTGTTATATACCCAAGCTTCTCGTTTGTTGTGGACAATCCAGATATTGAACTGAAACACCTGGGAGTAAAGGTAAAAATGTTTATAATTTTCAGTTAATTTATAGGAACATTCACAGAAAATATTGAATAGAATGTTACAGTATTATTTTGTATTTTTTTGTCTTTTGGTCATGATATTATTGATATTTTAACTTCATATATTGATTTCATTTTTATTTCAAGAAAAAGTTAAGAGAAACGACTTCATGTGTTAAAAAAGCTCCTACAAGTACTACAGTACTGAAATAAAATAGAATACTTGTATTTAAAACATAATGAAAAATATTTGTCAATTCACTCGTTTTCAGACAAGTATTTCATTCTATTCAATTAAAAGTTAGAATAAAATATAGGATGTTATCTCGATCGATCTATCCCGAAATAGCAAGCAAAACATTCTAAGTGATGGAAATAGCGTTTTCCTGCTGAAAAAAAATCCTATAGAAATATTGATAATTAAAAGAGGAATGCTTTTCCTTAGTGGGTTTTTTCTGTCACCCATAGGAAATTACATTCCTGCATGAGATTAAAATCTTCCTGTTGGAAATGGTCAAATCTCATAGGATTTTGATAATATCCCCCAGACTTTTTAAAAAAGTTTCCTTTGGAAAATTTATTTTTCCTTTTGCAAATTTTCATTTTAAAGGTGAATATATTTCCTGACAGGCGAGCTTCGCCTGTTAACGTGTGCATGATGTAGATTTATGTTAAGTAAGAGTTTTGAAGGTTTCGGTTTGCTACAAAAAGTTTTGATAATTTAACAAGGTCGCATTTTTTATAGGAGAAAAAAATAATGGATGATCTGTTAAAGGATAAAAATATTGAGAGGGAAAGTTGTTTGGACATAGAAAATAAGAAACAATTGTTTTCATATAGGGTAAGTATATTTTTCACCAGACATTACTTACTATCAAAGCAGTCATTTGCCATTCTATCTAAAGCATCCAATAAAATGAATATTGTTAAATTTCCCAGTGTTCCATGTTTATCGTTTTAAGAATTCTTGTGCTTATAAGATAATATTTTTCTTTATGTATTTTTAAATTCTTTACAGGTAAAACTATCGGATACAGCTGACCCAGTTAACAAACTGTCTTCAGTAGGGTATAAAATTGCCCCTGTCCTTAACAGTAACGTGTACATCATCATCAAAAAGGAAGAACTCAATAGTGGAACCTGTTGTCAGGTTTAATAAAAGCATTATAACTTTCAAAAAGTGTTCAGTGAAAATAACAGCAAGCTTTAGAAGGGATTTTTTTCAAAATTATCATATTTGTTACTTATATCAAACCTGATTTATAAAGAACGAATAAGGGTGATTTGGGTCTACAATCTTTTTTATATTTTCGAGGTTTTTTTTCCTCTTTGGTGCACGTGCTTATGAATGACATGAACCGTAAATATATTGAGGCCTTGACCACAGAAGATAACCGGGTTGATTTGTCATTTAAAAATCATAATTTAATCTTTTTTCATTAAAGGCAGTAAATTATATATTTATAGTCTTGCTCTAACACAAGAAATGCAATCACCTTATTTTAAACGTTACATATCAGAATTCAGGTATATCACCACTTGAATATACTTGTACCAATAGTGGATCCGACTGTTGTTTATGCCATAAAATTGTGCCATATGATACCTGCCAGGAAAAAACAACATCCGGGTAAGTCCTTTTTTCAAGTAAACAATGCATTTTAACCATTTTCTTAAGACGTATGTAAAATTTGAATTTTAAAACTGAATTCATAAAAAAGTATTCTGATAACATGCTAATGAAATAATATCACTTACATTGATTGGTTTTTGTCACAGAGAGAAATACCACACTTGTAGTGCTAGGTTACCAGATTCAAATGTCAAAGTTCAACCAGAATTAGACAAAATAAAAGAGCTAGACTTGAAACCTTGCTTTGATGCTGGTTGTAATGCTCGAGATGAGAAGTAAGTTTTTTTTCTATAGCACTAATTAAGTAAGACTAAAACAATTAAAAAAAGAGAGATGTTAAATAATATATTTCAGCATGTAATATTTATACGCCCTTCTTTTGTCGGGCGGTATTATGGTATGACGTGTATACCCAAATTTGATACATATTCACACTGATCTGAAGTCAAAGACCATTAAACGCATTTATGTAAAACGAAAAACTGGATTATTTGCACCATTTTAGCTTACCTGGGCTGAAAGCTCAAGTGAGCTTTTCTGATCACATTTTGCCCGTTGTCTATCTGTCCGTCTGTAAATTTTTCACATTTTCCACTTCTTCTCCAGAACCACTGGGTCAATTTCAACCATACTTCCCACAAAGCATTCTTGGTTAAAGGGGATTTAAGCTTGTTCAAAGGAAGGGCCACGCTCTCTCTCAAGGAAAAATAATTATGAAATAGTGAAAAATTTAGTGATTTTTTTAAAATCTTCTTCTGAAGAACCACTGGGCCAAAATGTTGAAATTAAGTGAAACCTTCATTTAAAGTGTACATTCAAGTTTGTTCAAATTTTGACCCTCCTGTGGGCACAATGAGGGATAAAAGTTTTACATAAGAATATATAGGGAAAAATCTTCAAAAATCTTCTTTACAAGAACAGCAAAGCCATGTTTAAGTCATATTGATATGGAAGTATCCTCGGATAGTGTAGATTTAAGTATGTTCAAATAATGACCCCCTTGGGTAGGATGGGGCCACAATGGGTGATCAAAGTTTTACATAGGAATATATAGGAAAATATCTTTTGAATTTTTCTTCTCAAGACACAGAAATCCTTTGATTAGTCACATGGATATGGAAGTATCTTGAAATAGCCTAAATGTAGATTCAAGTTTATTCAAATTATGACCGCGATGGGTAACATGGGGTAGGAATATATAATTAAAAAAATCTGCTAATGAAATACAGCAGGGGCATATGGACTCAGGTGAGTATTGTGGCCCATGGGCCTCTTTTTTAAATTTTTGCTTATTCATGCTGGAGTTAAGGGTTAAAGCTTTATTAACAATTAGGAAAAATAAGCACCGCGTTTACAAGCTTCATTTATTGAAGCTGCAGCTCTCTGGGATCGATAATTTGGAAAGGCATACCAGAGAGCTACTGATACTTAGGAAGTAAAATATATATGGTTAATTAAGGGATACCATGCCCTAGGGGAAAGCATATTAGGCGAGGAATTTTACCCTAAATTAAACGTGCGACATAAAAGCGGCGCCGTAAATCGAAGGATTTTACAAATATTGGATCTGTTACTATATTGTATGTCTGTCTGAATTATCTATCTCAGAGAACTACAGTTCTGCAGTTAGTTCTTTTTCTTTCCTACAACATTCACAAAATTGATATTTTATAGAAATTGCTACCAAGTAGCAGGATGCAGCTGGTGTGTTCAAGACGAAAATGGTAAACCATTTTCACAATCTGAGACATGCTGCAATATCATCGAGACTTGTCCATTTGGGAAAGTTCAGAACCAAAAAAGTAAGGAGAATTTTTCGTTTGAGTTTTGTTTTATGAAAACATCGGGAAATGATCATCCTTTATTTTAGTCTTCCACATTAATGCTTCCTAACTCTCTTATCCTTAATGCATACAGCTCTGTCATAGAAAAGGTCATAAAAGTTAAGAACTTCTTCCTTAATTGATGTAAAGTGACTACCTCAATTTTTTCACCGTTTAATTTTTTTCTCTTTTGAATAAATACTCAAATACATATACTTTGCCAATTTTGTAATTCTCAGAAAGAAAATAATGTGTCTACTTAATTTCTTAGATAAACTTCTAATATCTGATTTAATTAACTCTACACCAACTATTATTCGCGATTCGTCAGTTTGAAATCGACAATTAATTTTTCACGATTGGGGAAACATTCTCTACAAATACAAAGCAAAATAAATGGTTCGCGGCGATTAATATCCGCAAGTTAAAGAAGGTCGCGAAAATCGCGGATATTTCTCGCACGCGAATAAAAGTTGGCATACAGTACTTATCAATAACAAAAAAGTTCATTCCTTAGAAGATCAATGGTGATTCATATGTTTTTATATTTAAAGTTTGCACTCATCGTCTGAGCTAGTATTTGCGTATTTTTTAATAACAGACTAACTATACGTTTCCATTGAAATTTTGTCAATTGCAACTTTCTGAAGGATGTTTTTTGCATATCAGTGCTATGTATAATTTTTGTTGGTGGTATTTATCTTCCAAAAAAACCCCAAACAAACGTTAACAGATAGCAATTAACTTACCGCTGCCCCCTATTGCAAGGAATTACTATACCCTCAATAAATGACAACCGAAGTGAATTGCACCAAGCTAGATATAACTAGATACTGCCCATGCTTAAATTATGAAGGCTTTCTAAAGAGTATGTATAATTTCATTTTGTGTCCAAAATTTTGCTCTGTCCGTATACGCTTTGGTTTTCTGGATGCCTTACAATATTTTTTTCAGAGACACAATGCCTTGCGTCACAGACACCAGACCATTCAGCTCAGGCAGATGATACACCAATAGTAGCTGGAGGTACAGGAGGCGGGGTTGTAATAATTATTATACTAGCCATAATCATCGCAGTTGTCTGTCGTAAACGGAATAAAAAGGATGATAAGAAAGCAACATATCTAACGGTAGTTACTGATAACCCTGGTTTCAGTTCAGCTGAGGAACGTAGATCTGAAAGTGACACTTCAATCAACTATCTCAGAGGTGAGGATGAAGGTTCCCACCAGAGTAACCAGTATATAGGAATGCAAAGTTCCGACGATGGAAGTTGTACAGCACATGTAGGTGATAACCCGAAAAAACCAAGCGCCATTTGAACACACTGTTTGATAATGATACAAACATAAGTACATTATTTCTGTTATTTGCGCAATTCTTCTTATGATATGCCAATGTTTGATTTCATTTGAAAGTGTTATAAAAGACAAAGTGCGAACTCAATTGGTTACATTATTAAGATATTACACGTATAGTTTATGAGTTTGTAAAAATAAAAACTTTGCTCAAATTGCATAAAGCAAACTACTGACTGAGATGGTTAGAATGCCTACAAATTTTCTGAAATACTATGCTGCTATTGCTTCCTTTGTCAAGAGGTAAAGTTGCTCTAGTTGTCGAGTTCAGATTCTGATAATACAGAATTGTTCTATCTATAGCTAGAGTGACCTGTATCAGCAAAGTGCATTTAATTTAACTTCCTTGTTTCCCCCCAAAGACTCTAAATTTTCATATCAGAATCATCTTTACTTTAGCAAGAAGAAACATACATTTTATTTCCAAGTACTGTTTGATGAAAAGTACAGGTATCTACATTATTATGTATTGAATCAATTTTCATTTTTTTGTACTTTTTGTAACATTTTCTTTATCATTTCCTGTTTCTTTTTTAAATCTAGTTTTAATTTTTCTGCCTCTAGTTCATTTATTGTTTGTTTAGAAAAAGATATATATGTTTGAATACCTGGCATCAGGAAAAAGTCATGAAGTAATAATATAATTGTTTAATTAAATTCTTTACAAATGATGCCCTTGAAATATATTCACAGTAATTCCTCCGTAATTTAGCAATATTTTGTGCACGTTTGAATATGTAACACTATCTCTAAGTAATGCTTACATGTATATTATATATATATATATATATATATATATATATATATATATATATATATATATATATATATATATATATATATATACAATGTATATGCATAAAACCTTTATCCTTATTAATGTTTGTGTAGACGTGAATGTGGCTAAGTAACATACTTATATTTGTAAATTTCATCAAAATCTTTGTATTTCAAACTGTTAAGGTTATGTAACTAAACAAATATTTATTAACACAATGTTTTTATCACCACATAATGTGTTATTTGTGATATCTGTGAAACCAACCAGTGCACCACTCTGTTGGTTGAATGATTTGAATATAATTGTAAATTTCATTCCCAATCAAACCAACATGAAAAAAAAAACATTAATCCACCACCCTAAATAAAAGTTACAGACTATTTTAAAACAAGAAATCATGATATGATTGGATGTAAGAAATACTAGCATGTATTTTATTTATTTTGTTTAATTTTATTTTTAGCTCACCTGCACGCAGGTCAAGTGAGTGTTTCTGACCGAAATTTGTCTGTTGTATTTCGTTGTTGTTGCAGTATTTTTTTTTTAGATTTTCATCTTCTTAAGAACCACTGGGCGAATTTTAACAAAAAAAATGCCACAGAGCATCCTTGGGTAAAGGGAATTCAATTTTTTTTCAAATGAAGGGCCTAACCTCTTTCGAGGGGAATAATTAAGAATTAGTAAAAAAAAATTCAACGGCATCATTCAAAATTCTTTTCATGAACCACTGGGCCAGAAAAAAAATGAAACTTTAAAGGAAAATTTTCAGGTATTGTAGATTCAAATTTGTTCAGATCATGACTCCCAGGGCTAAGATGGGGCCACAGTCGTCTAACATAGGAATGCATAGAAAAATATCTTTAAAAATCTTCTTCTCAGAAACAGCAAAAGCATGGTAAGTCATATTAACAAGGAACCATGGGTAGTGTAAATTCAAGTTTGTGATCAAATCATGATCCCCATTGGTAGGATTGGTAGGGCCACAATGGGCGATCAAAGTGTAATACAGGAATACATAGAAAAAAAATCCTAAGAACTTCACAAGACCAGCAAAATCATGATTAGTCATATATATATACATGTATAAAGGCATCCTCAGGTAGTGTCGATTCAAGTTTTGTTCAAATTAAGATCCTTGACTGTAGATTGGGTCCATAATAGGCGATCAAAGCTTTACGTAAGAATAAATTATATTCATTAAAATATGTCTTCCCAAGAACAGCAAGGCCACGATTAGTCATTTTTTTTCATATGGAAGCTTTTTCGGGTAGTATAGATTCAAGTGTGTTTAAATCATAACACCCATAGTAGGGTGGAGTCGCAATATGTGATCAAAGTTTTCCATAGGAATGAACAGCAGGGCCATAGTGACTCAGATGAGTGTTGTGGGCCATGGATCTCTCGTTCTGAGTATATTACCATCCAATATACAGCGGTCAATTCTATGGCTTTGAGTCTTTCTTCAGGCGGCAACAAAATCTTTTTTTCTCCTCTAACCATCTTCACATTTTGTAAAAATTTTAAAAAAAAATTAATGATAATCATTGTATTACTATAGATTAATAATCATAACCTTTGATCTGAAGTAATGACCAAGACATTCTTTTATTTAAAGGTGTTTTTCTCATTTAATATTCCATTTCCACCTATATACTGAATCTGAAGTCTGTAAGTTACACCATCTCTTAACAATAACTGTGTAACCCTAACCCTACATGTAAGTCCTCAAACTCTTCTCTACTTCTGCAGTAAATGTTAGGTATGCAGGTACTAAACTTCTCATACACACATTCAGTTGTGACCAACATATATGTAAGGCACCTGCATTGTCATGATTAGACTTACTGAACATTTTCTTTGCTTTGTCTTGACTGTTGTCTCAGAAACTCAGTTTTTCAATCTTTGCTTATCTTCTGTTTAATTATTAATAAATCATTTTATTAGTGATGCATTAATAGTGTCACTAATATTATTGGTATCTTTAATGTATTTGAAATACTTTTCTGTATTTTGCATGTAATCTTCATTAATATTCTTAATTCTTTATAATTATCAAAACGGGTTCGGAAGAGTATGAGCTCAGTGAAAATAATTGTTTTTTTAATTGAATTATTAAAACATAAACAAAGGGAGAAAAAAAAAAAACGTTTTTTTTTTTTTAAAAAATGATTAAAGATCTACATGTGCACGCAATGTCCTCCACCAGAATGCTTTGATCTCTGGCTGGTCGAGCAGCATTGTGTACATAAAGTGTTTTTTACATTACCCATGATCAGGGGTGTGCAATTAAAAAAATTAAATACTAGCCCACGGGCTAGTGGCAGCAATAAAGTTACTAGCCCCAAGTAAAAAGTTACTAGCCCAAATGTAAGGGGGGGGGGGGGTAACAGAAAATAGTTATTGTTGAAAAAGTCAGGGTTTTAATGTCATTCTTTTTAAAATTAAAGTTTAATTCTCACTAGTAAAATTAAATCATGTATAAATTAATAATTATGATAGAAAATAAAAATAAATTCAAATAGATTATCTTATCTACAATGAAATGAAAATCATTTTTTTTCATCTTAAATCATTAAATACGCTGGAAATATATTTTATGTAAACCACATAACACTTATCTTTCAGTTGATTGAGTGATCGTAAATAATTTAATGAGATATCTGCATGTGTATTTACCATAAACAGAGGAATAGAGGAAATTCGGATAAGATAAAAACGATCGTTTTTGGAAGTAAATAAGTCAGGTAGCACTGCAAAATGGATAAGATTATGGAGATTAACGAACAGTAGGAACATGCTGACGAATATATTTTTTCATATTTTGAGAATTTGATAGCAAATAACGAGTGAAAATACCGATAGTAATTTTCATGTGTCACATTGGTAGTTTTAATTTTTACTAGCCCAAGGGGCTACCTCTGTGCAGAAAACTACTAGCCCGACCCCAAAAAATGGTAGCCCCGGGCGTCGGGCGATGCTAATTGCACACCCCTGCATGATGCTCTAATTTTAAGCAAATTTTTACTTTTTTTAACTTACAAAACAGAAAGTAAAGAAATAATTTTTAAAAATATCATGTTAAAACGGGTACCTAAATTCAGGTGTGTTTTACACCTCAAACTTAAAAGACAAAAACTTTGACATTAGAACAAGTATCATATCAGGGCACGTACGTGTATCTAATATTGGCTGTCTATTGCATTTCGTAAAGGCACTACTTACATGGTATGAATGACTCTCAGTGGCGAAAAAGGTATATTGATGATAATCTATAATTTCATAAAATTCACTAAAATTTGTTAAATATTTTGTTCCAATTTGAAATGTCCCCATAACATTTTTAATGCACGTAATATTTACTTCTTCTTCCTGATTCATATATATACGGCTTTCCATAATATATATATATATATATATATATATATATATATATATATATATATATATATATATATATATATATATATATATTAATATATATAAAATATGTGAATGGAGAAGCAGCTACATAGATACGTTAAATTAATTATACTGGTAATAATCATTAAGTAAATGCAATATATGATCATCATAATTTATTGGGGCAGGGCATGTTCATATATGTATGAATTCACATTGTAACGATCCCAAAAACTAGACAGCTACATTGACCATGCTTATCTAGCTAGTTTCTTCAGTGTTAATGCACAGATAGTTCAGTTTGCATGTCTATAACCAAGTGATTATATGTTTTTGACAAAATGTCGTCATTTCTACTTACTTTGCTTCCTTTTACTGAGATATCTCCAAACAAATGGAATTGTTCATGGTATAAATGTATTTCATCAGATATCTAAATGTTCATCCCAACTTCTTCTTTATTTTGGTTCTCAGAAAATAAATTAACCTGTAGTATTGCCACCTAGAATTTCTTTTACACCTTCTTATTATCAGTGGTAATGGATGAGAAAATGCTTTGACCTATAAAAATGTAAGGAAGATATAATTAAAACAAGGACAGGTCTTATGTAATTCTTAAACATGCTTTTGCAATTACAAATAAACATCGATTCATTTTTTTAATGAGCAATCGTCATTTGAAAACAAGCTGACAGATTAATATATATTGTGGTTAACAAACGTACAAACTGAAAGACAGTATTAAAAGCTATGAATTCTGATCATCATTTTCTTACCTGTTGTAGTAATTGTATTGACTAGATGGAATTTTTTCTCCGTCGATTAATTATTTGTGTTGTTTTTATTGGCGGTGGATTATGCGCACCTCTTGATAATGTGCAAAATTCGAAATCTATATCTGTTGTTGTAGGTAAGAATTTTGCTTTACTGTTCTGAATTATTTTGAAAGCATCAAATTGAAATGTGTTAATGTAGTTCTTTCTTTATTTAATTATTGAATATGTTCAAAACAAAACAATATAATCAACCTTCGAGATCATGTATTCTCAAATTGCACTCTTTAAAATATTCTTTTAACATTTTGATAATTTTATATGTATTTTTTTAAACTGTAGTAAACGTAGAATGACAATTTTTTCAAAAAACAAAATTAGATGAAAAATCCAAGGACATCGCTGTCTGGAATGACTTTCTTGTGATCAAAAGGAGACCTAGAAAACGGCAATCGATCAAAAGAGTAACGTCCCGCCCTACCGTAAAACCGACAGAGGCCCCTAAAACGACGACATCCACCCCTGATCCAACCACCACCACCACCACCACCGCCACACTTAAACCAGAGATATCAGGAGCTGTAAGAAGAACATTCAAGTTTAAAACAACAATAACAAAGGTGTATCACGTACCTCCAAAGGTTTTTGTCCGAGACTGGTATAGATTTATTAGGAATTTCAGTTGGTCAGATTTTCAACGAAGACAGAAAAACAACCGGTGTCCGTGGTGCCGTTGAGAGATTTGTGGGACATTTTACTTCGCTTTTTAAATCTGTGCGTAGGTGTGAAATAAATGAAATTTTGAAATGACCAAGTGCAATGTCTTGTCAAGTCGTAATACCAATTACGCAATTTGACAGTAATCTGTTATACTTGTAATAAATATCTTAGTTTGAGATCAAGTTATGTAAATGACTACGAACTCGATATTGTGTCAGATGATGCGGTTACATAAATTAATGAATTAACATATTTTTATAATAAATCCAACAGCATTTTGAAGAATAAATTTTGAAATTTCATAGTGGATGTTTGTTAGATAAGATATAGATATATGTGTGTGTGTGTGTGTGTGTGTGTGTGTGTGTGTGTATTACAAAAACTTGTTTGTTCAATTATCATGGGTGCAGGATAACCCTGTGGTTTTCAAGTGACAAACACTGATGCTACTTATCCGAAATAGTAAATTAAATGTAGGATATTATCAGCTTATATTATCGTCCTAAAAACAAGAAATTTGTTTTGGTGGCATATTAGCAATCTGCTTGTGTTGATGACAAAATCACTAAAAGGATATACTTTAAAGAGTTACAGTATTTCAAAGTGTTACAGTAAGTGCTTTCATTCATAAATAATCTGAAACCTGGACAAAGAACGGACGGAGTGGGCATGCATAGCACAGCCTTGGTTAGTCTGTCTACACAAGGAATATAACTTATTAAAAAAAAAAATATAACAAAACCAAAAACCAAAAACAAAACAAAACAAAAAAAGCAAACAAACAAAAAGGAAAACAAAACAAACAAACAGACAAAAACACAAACAAAAAATAACTTGATAATACATGTCTCTTCGGTAATTTGGAGAACTGAATTCAATATACACATATATTCATAGAAAAAAAAAACTTGTTTATTTTCTGAATTCCAATGTTCCCGTTCATAGTATCTTGGTTCACACTCGACAGTCCGATGCAATGTTTTCAGACAATTTAGTCCTAGTATTTCAGTATACTATATGAGTCACACGCGACAGTCCTATACAATGTTTTCAGACAATTTAGTCCTAGTATTTCAGTATACTATGATTCTCACGCGACAGTCCTAAACAATGTTTTCAGACAATTTAGTCCTAGTATTTCAGTATACTATGATTCACACGCGAAAGTCCGATGCAATGTTTTCAGACAATTTAGTCCCAGTATTTCAGTATACTATGATTCACACGCGAAAGTCCGATGCAATGTTTTCAGACAATTTAGTCCTAGTATTTCAGTATACTATATGAGTCACACGCGAAAGTCCTATACAATGTTTTCAGACAATTTAGTCCCAGTATTTCAGTTTTCTCATGTTGAATACTTGCACCTATGTTCTATTTAAATTATCTATTTCATGCCTGTAAATACGAAATTAAAAGGGGAATTTACGAAATTCGTTACATTTCAAGTAATCACTGGCAAACATTTCATCAAATTGATAAATTAGGGTTAATCTTTAATATCTTTCAAGTAAGAAGGGTATTTTTGAACGATGGATTTGCTTGTCAAATTTGTGTAATATGATGCGAGTCTAACTTTAAATTTCTGCAATAAAGATTTTGTCAAAAGAAGTGGAAATCCTTCTTTTTCTGGTGTAACTGATCTATGGAAGTAAATTTTGATATGAGTCGAGCTTTTAATATTTAGGATAGAACAAAACTGTCGAAAGAGGTAGGGGAAATCCTTATTTTCTGGGGTATACATGATCAATTGATATATCTATAACCTCCGAGTACTAATATAACGTCAAGTTAATTAAAACAAGATTAAAGCAAAATGTAAAACGTGAACCTTTTTTTACAATCAATGTTATAAAAGGTGTTACCATTTTCGAACAGATTCCAAACTAAACAATAACCGAACTAAACAATAACTGCAGCTGTAAGTAAATTAAAACAAGATCAAAGACAAATATAAAACTTGAACCTTTTTCTTTTTTACAATCGATATTATGAAGGAAAACATTTTAAAACAGATTGCAAGCTAAAAGAGAGGATGCATTACTTCATAATGAAAGTGCAGAGCATATCTTGACATAAATGTCTTACTAGCCTTTTAAAGCTCGCTATGTTAATCAACTTCCGCATTTTCAATGGAGACCACACTGTAATAAGAATTCCTTTTAAAGAAAAATAAGTAGTGAAAATACACAATGTTTTGTCAGGTAGAATATAAATTAAATTTATATACAAAAGTAATCGTAAAATTAGAATCGTCCTAATAGGGCTACTTGGTTAAAAATGCAATACCTATGGTCGTGAGCACCTTTTACTAAATTTGGGTATAAAAAATATTACCATCACCTGTCCTGGAATTAAAAAGTCATGGCCCAAATAATACTTAAATTGTGATTTGTCTCCTGGAATACACATGTAATACATCCCTTAGACCTTCAAAATTCAACATTTATAGTTTGTGACCATGACAGTGTGTCTAAATGATCTTTGTTCATGGTCATGACATATCCTTTGATCATAAGTAACTCTAAGGCCAAGTATGTTCTTCTAAATTATTTAAAATTTATATTTCATTTATTACAAAACTAGATGCTATCATCACACATCAATACCCACATGTAAGCGTTTGCCTCTATAAAGGTAACGAGAGTGTGTTTAGCGCTTGCAAGTTTGCATTACACTCTGATTACCACTTAGACCCATCTGCGTCTTGTAGAAAAAAAGATGTTTTACGTCCCTTTACATTAGTCCATTTGATGAAAAGGAAAATTCCGTAACTTTCTTGCAGATCTACACGACACAACCAATCAATCGTATTCCAAAATATGAATTAGCCTAGTTACTACTCAGAATTTGAGAGGAGTCCTGGGTACATCTTTTTTATCTTCTTCGAGGTGGGTTTGTGTAGGTTGTATGTTGTTTTTCGGCTCCCAATTGGCCTCCTGCATGAAAATGAAAATTTTAAAATCTAATTCCAAAACCCTATTATATATCTACAGGACAGCGCAAACTACATGTGAAAAGATAACTTGGCTACTAAGTAAAGTTTCGGAGGAGTTCTTGGAACCAGGTTTCGGAGAAAAATAAAACTGAATTGACTCCTAATCGCCCCCCCCCCCCCCCTCTTTAGAATGAAATCTGAAAATTCAAAAACCTAGAGGCCACTACCAATCAAATTCCAAGGAATGAATAGGCTACTGCTTAAAATGTAAGAGTAGTTTGAGGTAGAAAATAGTGTAACAGACGGGGTGACGGACTTGCATAATAACAACATACCCAAATTTTCTGTAGAAAGAGCAGTTATAATTATAATACAGACAAAACTTTTACAATCCATTATCATTAATTGCTGTTGTCCCACATGTCCATGTTGTAGGTTATTATACAACCTCTGATCACAAGCAACTGTTCTGCCTAGTTTGAACTTATTTTTCTGAATTCGAGTGTCCCCGTAATGCTTTTCTGCTTCAAAGTTATGGTTATGGCAACGATCTTATATTTCAAGCCACCTTTTTCAAAAACCATAAGTTAACGTGGGGATATGCCTTTGAATCACAGTCAATTACTTTTAGAAGTATAAGCGTCTTATCATCTTTATCTCTGTCCGGACAAGAATTTCACTCTGCTTATTCCTGTCACAGATATTGTGCACCATGAAATCTTTAAAAATCCGTAAATTTGTGAAATTTGACAAATCAATATAAATACACATGTACCAGGAGTCCATATCTAAATGAAGTGTTTAACTTCTGCCAATTAAATATATAATAGTCAAAAACTTTCAGAGATAGTCTTCGGACGAAAAGTGTCCACGGACAGATGAACGGTCAGTGTTCCAGTATAACCCTCCTCTGAACTTGCAGGAGATAAAGGCAGTGAGATGCAATTTTTTACGTCTACAATTGCAATATTTCTTTTTATTAATCTGTTACTTTAAACCATCTTTGTATAAGGACTATAAAAAGTGTAATAAACAAGTGAGCTCAAAAGATACATGTAGGCACCAGAATAGGCACGTAACATATACGTTGATATTGCCAAAGAGAGACAGAGGGGAGGAGGGTCAACGATTCATCAATTTTTGGAATAACTATCAGGTTAAAAAAATCTTCATGCTTATGTAAGTATACTTACTGACTCTTTAACATAACATTCTATTTTTTATCTTCAGTCCAAACTTATTCCAGAAGGTGAGCTTAATTTAAACTAAAGTTATGTACATGAAAACATTCTTACTTGTTTATTTTGTTTGTTAGCTGTTTAACGTCGGTCTCGATAATTTTTCACCCACATGGATACGCTACCACGTGCCGGTGGAGGGTTCCAAATTTATTCCGATACTTGGCACTGCGGGCCATTGAGCAGTGAGGGATCATCTACTGCGACACGGGACCTCGGTTTATAAGGTCTCATCCGAAGAACCAGTCTCCACGTCCCACAGCTGATTCGAACCCTCGACGTACATGTAAGGATCAACTCCTTACTCCGCGACTTTAGAGCAGACGCTCTAACCTCTTGTATTCTTCAACATGCACTGTGGCAACGCACTTTGAAAAAATTACGCACTTTGAAAAACTTTTTCAAAGTGCATTAATTTTGGGAAAAAATCAACGCACTTTGTAAAAATTTTTCAAAGTGCGTTGAATTTGGGACCAAATCAACGCACTTTGAATTTTTTTTCAAAGTGCGTTAAGAGTGTACATCATAATTTTTTACCATGTATACACTTAACGCAATTTGAAAAATGTGCATAAAACAAAAATTTTGGACTTAAATTTTAGTAATAGACAACATTTTTATCCCCTCGCAACGTTTGAGGGGATATAGTAACGCGATTTTGTGTGTAAGTGTATGTGTTAGTTTTTCCTGTGCGAAACGGAAGTGACGTAATTTGCATCGGGATCGCTATCATATTCAATATGAACATACGCTAGACTGATTAATTTGATAGTAATAAAATAAAAGATTAGCCACAATACTCATTTGACTGGAACTTTTACAAAGGCACCGCAAAGCGGAGCATTCCTTCCCAAAAAGCATATTCTATAAATCAAGGCAGCGTTTATGTATATATACATATATATATATATATATATATATATAGAGAGAGAGAGAGAGAGAGAGAGAGAGAGAGATTTCATGGTAGAGAAAAATCCTAATTGCTCCTTTTTCCATTTAAGTCACATCCACCGAACTTATTACAGACTGAATTAAAATAAACAAGCATTCTGAGAGTATTGCATTAGCAATACTAGTCCCCTACCGGCAAGTGTAATCTGG